GCGGAGCAGGGAGCCCGATGTGGGACTCTATCCCAGGACCCTGGGATCATGACCTGAGCCGAAGGCAGACGCTTAACGACTGAGCCACCCAGGTGCCCGGAAAGACCCTGATTTAAAGCCACATAAAAATATCATTCTTTCCAATTAATATTATCAGATATAAACAAAATCATGGAAGCTGTTGCAAAGTTAATTTATTTGGCTGCTGTTGGCAATCACAGATCCCACAGAGATTATTTTTCCTTCATTCCTCATCAGTTGGATGAAAGATTAAGCTGAAGAACAGATTTTATGTCATTCCGTACCCTTACCACATTTTCTCTGCCTCTCTCCCACTCAGCTCAGTTCAACAGGAGAGATGTAAGAAAGAAATATCCAGTGGTACCTGGATATTATGAGAGATGTAAGAAAGGGTCAGAACTGATTTAAGAATGCATTTAAAGGAAGAGTAATTTGCTTAACAACTAAACATGCTTATTTTATTAGTTCATAGGCCACACAGGCACATACCATGTGAGAGCTAAAGCCACGTAGCCAAACAGAAGTTACTATTAGTCTAGTGTTCTCATGATCTTTTTTTTCTGAAATTACATATATTATAAACACCTTAGTGCAAAAGAAAATGGACTCTGAACTAGGCTGCATTAAACTTCTGGCTCTGACATTTTATAGCTCTAAATCCCTAAATAAATCACTTAATTTTATTCTTCTTCAATGTTTGTACCTATTGAATGGGAGTCAATAATTTCTTCATATAATTCTCCTTTCCTTCCCCCTCTCCCCTTCCCCTATCACAAGTTATTAAGGTCAGAAATAGATTGGGATATAAGGCTCTCTCCCTGGTTCAAATCCAGGCAGTGAGCATATGTAGTTGGCCTCATGGCATGGCTCTCTGGTTCCCAAGGAGAAATATCACTGCTGTGGAATAGTCAAGTTTCGAAATACTGCCTGGCAACTGGGGCTACCACATAGTCTGCCGCTCCTGATACCCCATCTCTTGCTATCACATAGAAAACTTTTTCTGATCAGCTCCTCTCTTCTACCATGGTGAGATAAGATGTGCCAGGGAAGGGAAAGAAGTGGGGAGCACCTGCATACCTGCTCTTGTTCTTTTTTATGGAGGCCACATGATCTCTCTAGATCCAGGCTCTAGGCTCCATGGGCCCAGGCATTAGCAATCTTCCCATGCCCAGGCTCTACCTCACTAGGCTTATACTGGGCTTTGGAGACAAAGCTCTAGCTAAAGAGATCTTTTACAGGTCACTGTCTCTCATGTATCTGATTTCTCTTGGAAAGCAAATATCTTAATACAGTCAATCTCCAAAGCATAGGTAAAATGCAGGAGGCAGGTATGAACCCAATGTCTGCTCCCCAAGTGCCTCCTCCTGCTCCCATACTAAAGGCACTTAAGCAAATGTTTAAGGACTAGTGTTTCTGCCCGGAAATACCCTACAAAGATACCCATTCAACAAATATTTAAAGAATGTCTGAGTGATGGAGACAGAATAACCAAGACCTGCTTCTTGCCTTCAAAAAGCTCACAGTGAGAAAGACGTGAAAACAACTACAGTACAAACACTAAGTGTGTACAAATACAGGGACTACCTTATAGTCTACCTAATAGTCTGCCCAGGGTAGCTGGGCAAGGCTGAACCTTAAAGAAGCATGAAGAATGGGAATTTCCAATGGATTAAAGGGAAGCCATTCTAAGCAAAGGTTCCAACAGGGACCAAAGCGTACAGGTGAGAAGAGTGGCTCCATCTGGACAGTCACTTGGGAAAAATGGATACATGGCAAAAATACAAAGAAGAGGGAGAAAAAAAAAGCAAAGGAGCACAGTTGTAGGAAACTAGGTTGGTGAGAAAGGCAAGGATCAAATCATGAGCAGCCCTGTAAGCCAAGCTAAACACTTTACTTTGAACTTTATACACAGCCAATAGAAAGCTACTGAAAAATTTTCAATTTGAGGAGTGATCAAATCAGTTTTATTTTACTGGATCTGGTGACAATGGTGACTGAATAAATACTTGTCTGCGTGGACTGGTGCCCATGTGAGAATGCCTGCGTGTGTGTGTGTGTGTGTGTGTGTTCCAGGCTGGTGCCCATGTGAGAATGCCTGCGTGTGTGTGTGTGTATGTGTGTGTGTTCCAGGGTAGGGGGTGGAGTAAAGGTGTAGACCAAGAGATCAAAGATGATTTCCACAAGTGCCAAGCTGCTGTCAATCCCTGGAATAAGGAAGGGATGAGGTGCAAGTTTGGGGGAGGAGAGTAAATTGATGAGTTCGGTTTTTTGTTACCTTGCAGAGATTTTTTCAGTCTGTGGGAAATCTGGGTGAAGCTGTTAGATCACCAGTAATTCACACTAAGAGCATGGATAGGACAGCTCCCAGGTTTCTGGTGGAGGTAGTGGGTGCCTTTGCACTGGTCTCTTATATACCGATTACCTGCTAAACACACCCATAGGCCCTTCTGAAGAAAGCTGCCACAAGAGGTTCTTTATACATAGGTCTCCCTACTTTGTACTATGAGACCCTACTACCTTGGCCAGAGCAGACCCAAAAAGGGATCAGGGAGCTTGATGCAGAGCACCTACTGATAGGCTACGTCAGAGGCTTATGAGGTGGCTCCATACAGAGCTCTGCCCATAACCACAAGTCCATTCCAGAAAAATCACAATGTTTTCTTACTTTTTTTTTTAAGAAAGATTTTATTTATTTATTTGACAGAGAGAGAGAGACAGCGAGAAAGGGAACACAAGCAGGGGGAGTGGGAGAGGGAGAAGCAGGCTTCCTGCTGAGCAGAGACCCCAAGGCAGGGCTCGATCCCAGGACCCCGGGATCATGCCCTGAGTGGAAGGCAGACACTTAACCGACTGAGCTACCCAGGCACGCCAGTTTTCCTACTTACCAAGCAAACAAATTACTACCCACGTGCTAGCACACTGGCCCTGAACCAGTTATGTGTATTCTCTTAATTGTACCATCCATTCCTCGAAGACAACTGCACATTACAGAGAAAGGGTTCTATCTCTTACATTGTGCAGTGCTTTTAACCACTTTTTGTCACATAAGCATTACTCTAAAAATATCACAGGACTGAGAATAAAACAAAGGAAGGAAGCATTTTCACCATGCCTCCTAGCATTTCTAGTAAGTCCCATAGATCATCTAATTCACCTTCACCATGAACTCCAAATGATCCACACGGTAACAAACAAACAAAAAAAGATCTTAAAAAATCATTTCATGTAGAACAGCAACACCACCTTTGAGGAAATGATACCAAAAAAGAGGAAGCAATTTATAACACTGGGGCACGTCGACCAAAGCTCAGCCATCTGACAGATCATATACTTTGGAAATGTACAAAATTCTGGAAAATTTTGAAAGCTTTTCATAACCTCAGGTATGATTACATACCAAACCTGAGCAACGTGCTGGAACAACAATGTCTTGGGATCCACCAGTTCTCCATGCCAAACTGCACTATTATTTATATTTCCATTATTCTCTGGACATTCCACTAAGTACCTCAGCTGTCCTAAGGAACTTGGTACCATGTGATCAAGTAGTCACCATACATTTTTACCCACGTAGTTTTATTTAAATCTATGACAATCTAAACAATTTAAGCATTCTATCACCCAACCTTAAAACTAAGGTTTTCTTTCCCTTTTTCTTTTACGTTCCTACCCCCCCCGCCCCGCCGGAGGGTGTTCTTAAGAGATGGGCGGGGTGTGGGGTGAGGGGGGGTCCTTAACCCACTGAAATTGAATTGTATAAATGCATTTCTTGGAAAGCCCACAGGCTTCACCAGATTTTTAAAGCAGTCTATGGACCCCCCAAATGTTATGACCCATTCTACACACTTGGTCACCTAAGAACACTTCTCAGCCTGACAGCACTCAAGCTAACAATGCTCTATTCAGTCAATATCCTCAGACTTTTCTGGAGTTTCTACATATTAAGTATTTTTCAAAAAATCAAAAGTTCACAATGTCAGCTCTTTCCATAAGGATGCTAATCTTGCTGATTCCTACCGAAAAGATGCTTTCTTGGAAGGAAAAAATAAGCAGCAGCAAATATTTGGTCAAACCATCACTAATATTCTAGGATTATCATTTAGAGCTGAACTGTGGAGTTTCTCCCTCCTGACAAATTTATCAAGGTACAGACAGAATAAACACCATTTACAGACCCTAGTGATTCATTTCCAGCCTGCCTTAATATGAGAGAGCTGCTTACTTTTCTTGCATCTTTATAATGCACCAGAAAAGAACTTGAAGCTAGGATTGTTTGGGGTGTTCTGTGAATGAAGCAGGGGCACTAAATACAGGAAGTCTCTAGGACTGAATACAGATATATATCATGTTAGTCGTCGTGGCAAAAATCGTGGTTAGCTCTAAAGTACACGGCTCATCTAACTAGTTTTCTTAGCTCTTTGGTTAGTTGTTTTAATACAGAATATTTCCTCTAAGTCTGGAATTCCATTCGCCCCAAATGCTGCAAATGTGATATTTAAACAACCAAATCCTCACATGCAAGTGAGTCAAACAGCTAATAAAAGTCCGGTGGCAGCGACGAAGGGATAACGACGGTCTGTGTTCAGGTACCGCAAAGGACTGTTAACTATTACCCACGGACATCACCTTTACACCTGCTCTTAGGGATGAGTTCAGGACCCAGCACTACGCGACCAAGATGAGGAAAGGGAAAGTCCGGGTGCTGCGGGGAACTGGCCGGTCCCCAGGACTGGCGGCCGCTGCCCGCCCGGCCGCCCTGCGGCCTGCACCATCCCGGCAGGCGGCGGTCTCGCGTAGAGCGCGAAACCCCGAAGCGGAGCCGCGAGTGGCGGCGGACGCGAGGGAACCGCAGCGCCGGGCCCGGGAGCCCAGGGTCACTCCGCCCTCCCCGGCCCACCTGGCGGCGCCGCCTGCCCGCCGCCTCCAGCCCTGCTCACCCGGACTCTTTAGGTTGTAGCGGGCCTCCATGGCGGATCGCTGTCCCGGCTCTGGCCTCCCGGCCCGCCGCCTCCACCTTTCGGCGCCGCAGTTGCTCGGGTGTCAGCGCGGCTCCGGCCGATTGGGCCAAGCAGAGGGAGCCTCGGCAGACACCGCCCAGCCCTGGCAGACGCCGCCCAGCCCTGGCAGACGCCGCCCAGCCCTGGCCGGGACAGCGGGAGGGGGGTAGGGAAGGAGTGTGAGCGTGCGGGCGGGGCGCGGGCTTCGCGATGGCACCGCCTCCTCCGCCGCCCCCCCGCCTCCCTCAGGGCCGGGCAGGCGCCGGCGCCGGCCGGGGTGTCGCTGAACGGGGCGCCCGGGCTGGAGGTCAGCCTCCTCGTCTGGCCGCGGGCCCAACCCCGCCGCGGCCGCCGGGTCTGCGTCACCCGCCCTCGCCCGGGTTTTGTGAAGTTGCCCTGACGTGGCGGTCGCTTCGTGGCAGTCGGTCAGCTCCGGCGCCCGTCACTGCGCGGTCGCCGTTGGCCCTGCGATGGTCGCTCCGGGATCTGCAAAAGCGGGCGGCGTCCTCGTCTTCCTCTCGGCCGGGCCCCGCGGAGGCCGACCTTTCGCCGAGCCCGTCCGGGGTCCCCCGGCGCTCGCGGGTATTGAAGAGGAACGGCGCGGCCGGAAGCGGCCGGTCCCTACCCGCTGCCGGCGGCCTCCGGGACCCCCGGGCCTGAGAGAACAGACGGGCCCGGGCCCCCGCTGCCCGCGCGCTGCACGGCGGGGTTGTGGGCCGCTTTGCTGGGATCGAGTAGCTGATGGTAAAGACAGTTAAGTGCGGAAGAGAAAATCCGGTGATAAGGAAACTGAGTAGGATTTTTATAACATCTTTTTAGTAACGTGATTAGGTGCAAGACCCTTTTAAGCATTGTGGGGGGTTGAAAAAAGAATTATAACTTGTCAAAACTGAGGGAGTTACATTGAATTGGGGGGAAAGCATTCAAATACAAAGGACACAGTACAAGCTTCATTATAGAAAGAATGGGATTCAGAGGAAGAGGGCTATGGGTTCTTGAAGGCTTAAAGGAGAGGCGAGAACTGAGGAAAAGAGGGAGCGGTTGGCTCGGTGGGGAGGATGAAGAGGGAAGGAAGGAATTCTAGGTGAGATGAAGCCGGGTTAATCTGGTTGGGCAAGGTGTATTTTTGTTATATAAAGAATTGTACCAGCAACCTTTTATAAAGAGTGAAATTGGGAGGGAAGGAGAGAAATGGAGGATATCTAAAACAAAATTAGATATCTTTCAAGCCATTCCATGATGTTTTCTGAGAAGCAAACGGATAATCAGAGTGGCTGAGATATACAAACAAAGCGCCAAACCCCAATGTGCTGCTTTATTCATTTATTAATTCTTTGTGTTAAATCTTCAAATTGTTTAACACTGTACAATTCTGCAAAAACCTGTGGCTTGTGAAATAGGTAGTATCATTCCCATCTGATAGCTAAGGAAACAGTTCTGGAAGCACTAGGAACCGTTTAGTTATTCAGCCTACAAGTCAGTCAAACACCAGACGCTGTAGTCTCTCCTCTCCTTTTCTTCCTCTGCATGGAGACCAGGACGTTTTTCTTTTCTTTCTTTTTAGAAGACACCATCACCTAGTCTTTTCCTTGGCATTGCAGGGGTTCAGGACAGCACCTCCCCCCCAGCCCCCAAAGTGCCGCTTGGCGTATGGATTTTTTGAGCTGAAGGCGCTTGAGACCCTGGGAGCTCAAAAGAAACTTTTGTCCCTTCCTTAACCACACAGAAGAATCTAAATTGGGGGTCTTTCCCAGAAAGAGGATTATCTAGCAGAGATAAATTTTATCTGAGTGACCCACCTGTATTGCAGGGCAAACATCTAATTACCAAACATCTGTTCTTATTGTCTGTGAAGTGTATTCCTTTCCAATGAAGTTTCAGATCCCTAACCCCTTCTTAGTTCAGGATGACATACAGACCTCATTTTGCCGAACTGTCTTTGGAGTTTCCATGTCTGCGTGGATTCCTTGTACCTATGCTATTAAATTTGATTTTCTGGAACGCCTGGGTGGCTCAGTCGTTAAGCGTCTGCCCTTTGGCTCAGGTCATGATCCCAGCGTCCTGGGATCGAGCCCCCAATCAGGCTCCCTGCTCGGCAGGAAGCCTGCTTCTCCCTCTCCCACTCCCCCTGCTTGTGTT